ATCATCCGAATCGTCATTCGTATTAATTAGCCTATGAATGTCTCTGACTGTAGTTGCAAGTGTGTTTATGTGCTGCAGCAATCCTGGAGGCTTTCCTTTTTCAGGTGGCTATTCTGAGGTCCAATAAATTTGGTCACAAATTTGTAGATAACGAGTACTTGGGCCTAAAATCTTTAGCAAAAAACCATGGCTAAAATCTCCGCAAACATTGTAGCTACTAATACTAATGGGGAAGGTGATGTTAACTATTTTCGAATTTTGATCCGTCACAGTATCAGCTCAATAGTCCCCCTTGACTACCATGAAAGAGGATTCCGGCCAAGACATGTGCATTGAGTTCGCTTTGACAACACGACTAATTTGTCAAAACGTGATCAGACAGCGTGTATGCAACAAAGAACGGCTTCGACTAGAATAGATGTGGCACCATCTTGACCTTCATACCCTCAATAATGCCATCATTGTTGTCATCGCCGTACTCTGAGCTGTACCTATGGCTGGTTGAGGATAGTGCTTTTTTGTATACACGAAATGGTTGATGTTGAATCAAGGCCAATGCAACACATTTAAGAAAAACCCTCAAGTGTGCGTGGTTTCAAGGAGTATGACGTCCAACTCAATACATCGATTTGTCCAGTGCTGACGAGACAGCGACTCAGCCCAACTCGTGCCGTTGAAGCCTGTGGGTGCAGGTCTGTCTGTGTGTTCGGTGCGTGAGCGGGATAGAGACAGAAGTGTGGGTGCCCTTGGGTAGGCATTACTCTGGGCCGGATAGCTAATCAGTACAGTTAGATTTTTACTGGTGTTCACAGGCCTGAAGACACAGAGACACCGATGCCGAGAGCGCCGGTGAAACCGACACCCGAACAGACTCACATACTTACATTTAAACACACACACACAAACACACACACACACAGAGGAGCACAGTCGGGAGTGAGAGCTCCAGAATGGAGGGCAACAGTCTGCGTGTATGACCTCAGTGGCTGCGGCCCTACATGTGACTGTCAGGCCTTGGCTAGAAGAAAATTCGTATCTTTCAGGGACCAAATCAACCTGTTCTCCAGTTAAGGAGATTGAGCCGACTGACTGTCTCTGGGTGGGTGAGGGCTGTACAATTCCGATCCAAGAATACAGGCTCACCTGCCGGATCAGCATGTATATGCAACAGATTCGATCTTCTCTGTTGGTATGTACAGACAGACGGTCTCTCTGGCATAACTGGCCCTCGAATCTCCCCATTCAACCAAACCAGCCATGCCAAATGAGAAGCGTTGCGTTGGTGTGCTCATCTGTCGAGGCGTGTGAGCAGCCAAGATGGGTGCGGTTGCACACCTCATTCATACGTTCAATGCGGCGGAGGCGAAGTAAACCCAGAAAGTAGACCTTAAGTCGTCGTGCCAGATACAACACACACGAGGCAGGAGCATGTACGCAAAAGGGTAAAAGTCGCCTCTTCCCCCCCCCCTCCACCCCACCCTTCGTAGCATGCGAGAGCCAAAGAGGTGCTAGCATTTGGAAGTTTGTTGGGTCAAAAAAGATTGCGATGGTGACTCGCGCTGAAGACACTGTTTTGCCAGCACCCAGTCAAAAGAAAAGCATAAAAACACAAACACACAAAGAGGTATGTAGAAAACTGGGTTTCGAAGATTTCCTTAATAGATTGATGCTGAAGTAGGTTTACATTTGGTTTGAGAAAAGTCTTCTTCGTGTCTCGCCTTCGTGTTTTGGTGAATTAGCGCTAAGCATGATGTCCTGCTCTGACGATGTCTGGCACATGACGAACGAAAGGTCAGCAAGGATTCATTGGGGTCGTAGGCCGGTGTGCTAAGGTCCAATTCGAGGAAAATCTACAGTCACGACTTCAAGACAATCTCCCTACAGCTACCGGTGAGACCAAATTACGAGTCCCTTCAACTCGCCTCTTAAAACGAAATAACAGGTACTCCAACATCAAACACACAAATACACCCAAGACTCAGCTCGAATCTATCCTGAATCTAGCCTGAATCTCGACAAGGGCTTCAATTGCATAACCTTAATTGCATAATAATTTATGTTATAAAGACCAAAATCCTGTGACCTCTGGTTTGGTCAAGCTGCCCTTTCACTTTGTTTTCGTAATCTGTTCGTATCTTTGGGTTGCGAGGACAATTTACAGCTTCCAGGATTGCTTCTATGACGAGTTGTAGCTTAACGCTAGGACAGGCGAGACTGGCGGACGACACAAACTTCGAATCCCGTGAAAGGTCTAGAAATCAACCAATTTAACGATCCGAGACTAGAAATTCTCCTCACAATCACGACCGAGGATATCGGACAAGGTGTCATTGTCGAGGTCGCCCTGACAATGGAATCAAGCGGCGAAACCGAGGTCAACTCAAA